AGAAAAGGTCAAGTTAACTTCACCCTAGGTCGATTTGAAAGAACACTATGATTGATTGAGCTTCTGTTTTTGCTATATTTGATTTGGCTCAAGTTGTTAGCAAGTTTGAGCCCAAGATTCTTAGTGCCATGCAAGAAAAACAGATTTGAGGATGAGTTGATCGTGGGTAGAAGGAGGAATTGGGGTTTAGTAAGAAAGGCAGAACTTCAAGAGAAAGGGGACCAAAGGTGCTACTCTGTTTTTCTTTTTTAACAAAATGAGGCTCGAGTTTTTAGCAAGTTTGAGCCCAAGATTCTTAGTGCCATGCGAGAGAAAAGGATTTGAGGATGAGTTGAGTGTGGGTAGGAGGAGGAATTGGGATTTAGTAAGAAAGGCAGAACTTCAAGAGAAAGGGGACCAAAGGCGCTACTATGTTTTTTTCTTTCTTAACAAAACGAGGCTCAAGTTTTTAGCAAGTTTGAGCCCAAGATTCTTAGTGCCATGCGAGAGAAAAGGATTTGAGGATGAGTTGAGCGTGGATAGGAGGAGGAATTGGGATTTAGTAAGAAAGGCAGAACTTCAAGAGAAAGGGGACCAAAGGCGCTACTATGTTTTTTTTCTTTTTTAACAAAACGAGGCTCGAGTTTTTAGCAAGTTTAAGCCAATGTTTTCAAAATTGAACCGGAGGTCAAACCATTTTGACGTTCGATTCATGGTTTTGATGGTTCAACTGGTTTAATCGGTTAAAAAACCAGGTTGATTAAATTTTGAAAATATATATTAAATGTAATATAATGCAACTCATGTCAAAGAATTACTCGTGGCGCTAGTGGTCAGAACTTTAATTTCATTGAGGAGATTTACAATTTGAATCTCACGAGCAGTAAAGTTGTTCAATTTATGTAATTCTACCAGAAACATATCTTAATGCATAATTTGACAACTTGAATCAAATCAAGTGGCATGAATCTGGTTGAGCATCCAAGAGGGTTAGTGTTCAAACCTCATTGAAGTCATTTTCCCTTTAAAATCTTTGTAACATTCGTTAAAAGATATTCTTTGCAACTTACCTCACAAAAGGCGAGGTGGCCAAGTGGCAAATGGCTTGCTAACCCTTCATGAGACCTGGTGTTCAAAACCTAGTGGAGACAAATGTAGGAGAATTTCATCCCAAGAGTTGACCCAGTCGGTTTGACAGGTTATTGGTTCTCATCGGTTTGGATGGTTTGAGAGGTTTTAAACGATTCAATCGCTTAAACCAATGTTTTTGGGCCTAGCCCGGTGGCTGGCCCGTTTTGACCACCGAGCCCAGTTCAATTAGTTGAACCAATTCACCCGACCGGTTCAACCGATCAACCAAAAAAGTTTTTTTTGACATTTTTGTTGAATTTTACTTTTGTATATTACTTTCACTCTATTTTTAAGAAATAATCATCATAAGATCAACTTAAAAATCGTCATTTAACTAATTTACAATAATAAATTCAATTAAATACATATAATTTTTAAATCAAAACTAACAAATATTAAAATATATAATATAAAATAAATTCACCAATCATGATAATAGTGAAAAACTCAATCTTAAACTAAATTTACTACAAAATAAATACTAAATATAAAGGAAAATCTCAAATCAAATCCACAAATCCACTACAAAATAATAAGTCTTGAATATATATAATAAAAAAATCTCAAACCAAATCCATAACAAAAATAAATGTTAATAGAGGAGAGCTATTGTAGAGCAGATGAGGAAAATTATGATTTCTGCTGCTGCTTTTGGTCGGTGGAGCAGGAGAAGAAGGCACTAGTAGAGGAGATGAGGAGTAGAAGGCAATTGTTGTTTAGTGGACAAGGAAGATTTTGATTTAAAAATCTCAAACCAAATCCATAACAAAAATAAATGTTAGCAGAGGAGAGCTATTGCAGAGGAGATGAGGAAAATTCTGATTTATGCTGCTGCTGCTTTTGGTCTGTGGAGCAGGAGAAGAAGGCAGCAGTAGAGGAGATGAGGAGTAGAAGGTAGTTGTTGTTTAGTGGACAAGGAAGATTCTGATTTCTGTTGCTGCTTTTGTTCGATGGAGCAAGAGAAGAAGGGCAGCGATAGAGGAGATGAGGAAGAGAAGGAGGCTAGCGACGGGGGAGATGATCTGTTTTGTAACAATGTAACTCTTGTTTTGCTTTGCTGTTTCAGTTTAGTGAAGCAAGGAAGAGGTGATCGGCAGTCAACAGAGGAGATGAGGAGGACGTGCTCAACGGAGGAGATGAGGTAGACGAAGAGATTTAAACAGAATAGATGAGGTAGATGAGGTAGATGAAGACGATCGACAGAAGAGAAGAAGCACAGTGACAAAGGAGATATCGATGGACGATGGACGAAAGAGAAGATTTGTTCTTCTGCAGTTCTGTTGGTTTTTTGAGTTTTGCATTTGTTTCCCGCTTTCCCGATTCTTAGGGATTTTACTTTTTAGCTTAATTGATTTTTAATTTAAGTTAAAAACTTAAAATTAAAAAGTTAAAAAACTTAAAAAAGATGATGAAATTAAGCCCAACCGGTTGTAGCAGGTCACACGAGTTTAGCGTGCGTGACAGGTGGGACGGATTTCAACGGGTTATTGAACTAAACGGGCTGAAGTCTTCAACTGGCCCATTTTCAGGCTTGAGTTTGGTTCAACCGATCGGGCTAGGCCAGGTCCAAAAACATTGGCTTAAATGATTTGAAATATTCACCCAAGATGTTTCTTCTATTGGGTGTTGGTCCAACCAGTTCAACCAATCAATCCGATCTAGTTTTGAAAACCTTGGTTTGAGCCCAAGATTCTTAGTGCCATGCGAGATAAAAGGATTTGAGGATGAATAGAGTGTGGGTAGGAGGAATTGGGATTTAGTAAGAAAGGCAAAACTTCAAGAGAAGGGAGACCAAAGGCCTTATTGTGTTTTTCTTTTTTAACAAAAAGATGACATTTTTTTAAAGTTGTCCTGGTAATTTTTTTGCCAGGAAGTATTGAATTTCCATTTTCCCTAATTTTTTTTAAAAATAAAATATTTAAAATTTATTAATTTAAAAAATAATTAAATAAAATATTTTTATATATTTAATTTTTTTAAAAAAATTAAAAACAAATTAAATGTAAAAAAGCCAATCTCTCCCATCCCTATGATATGGGGGATTGAAAACATTCCATCGCCCTCCATCACCCTCCCTCGTCAAAATCAATATCCCAAACACAATAAGGAGGCATTTCCCCTCCTCCTCCTTCCCCTATCCCTTCCCCACCAACTTCCCTAGTACCCCAAGATTCCACTTTTACCACCGCGCGGGGAGGACTATGCCCTCACTCCTATCAAAATCCTTCCTTTTCCTGACCCCAAAATCTGTACACCTCTCTTCTTCCATGTCTACCCTTGCTGGCCACTCCGTCTCTCCGGCCAAAGCGCGCCTCCGTGGTGTCGTTTTCGACATGGACGGGACCTTAACTGTGCCTGTCATCGACTTTCCGGCAATGTACTGTTCTGTGCTTGGTGAAAACGAGTACAATAGAGTGAAAGCAGAAAACCCTTCTGGGATTGACATTTTGCACCACATTGAGAAATGGAGCCCCGAGAAACAGAAAAAGGCGTACCAGATCATTGCTGATTTCGAGCGCCAAGGGCTAGAGCGACTCCAAATCATGCCTGGTTAGTGGCTTCTTTAATCCTTTTTTCTTGTTGGGGATTAAGAAATGCATGTTTGCGGGTCATGGCTGTTATCCATGTCTACTACTTTTGTTGTTTTTCTGACTTTTATTGTAAAATTAACTTCTTGTTGCTCTAGTTATGAATTTTTCTGCTGTTTAAGGATTTTGCTCACTTTACTTGGGTCAAGATCATTGTTAGTGTCAGCAACTTCTTATGGTTTAATTTTGTATCGTTTATGGGTCTTGGGCACAATACCTACCTACCTACCTAAGTCCTGAACTGAAGCCATAATGCCACTCATGGATTTTAAGTTTTCTTGCAGTTGACTAGGGTCTACTTCCTTTCTTAAGTTTCCTTCTTTGTTTTGGTATGATCTGTTATGTTTTAAATTTTAGGAATTGGAAAGTTCATTGGCAATTCGTTTGCTGTCTTCAATCCCTTGATTCCTACTGGAAAAAGTGTTTGTTTTGGTAAAATCTTGGAGCTTTAACCTCAGTGTTGATGCATCTAGTTGGACCTTTTTTACTTTACTTAATATTTGGGGGTGGAAGATTCAGAGGAGGATCTGAATCTGTCCTCGGCCACTGAACCATTGCCTCACTGATGCTGTTTGTGTGATGTGTTGTTTTGTGTTTTGTTATGTTTTGTTTTGTTTTGTTTTGTTTTGTACTACTGTTAATATGTTGGAATAATGGTTGGTTTAGTTTTAGAAATAAGTCATTTACATGGTATTAATTGTTGGACTTCTGTGGGATTTTGTTTTACCAATAAACCATTCTTTGTGTAAGCTTGTTAAAATTTAAAAAAAAAAAAAAAAAAAAAGAAGGAAAGATTTTACTCTTTAAGCCATCTTGTTTGGTTAACAATGCAGGGGCAGCTGAACTTTGTGGCTTTCTTGATTCAAAGAAAATAAGGTGAAGTTCTTGCTCACTTAAATACTTTTGGTTTATGGTTAGATTTTATGTCAACTATTTCCAGATGCTGGCCTATTTTGGAGTTATGATAAAAGGAATTGTTAATGTGCAGCTATCTTTTCATGACTCTAATGAGTAGCAAGAGGCAAATGAAACTCCTGGGAATAATTCATGTTGCCAACATGTGGAATCATGAAAATAGAAGAACATTCATCATTTACACATTTTTCTAAGCCTTTTTTGGTCTTGGCATCTTTAAAGATATTTTCTTTCTACTGTTTGCTTTCCTCTTTGGATAACTTTTCATACTTCATGAACAATTATAGCCTCTCTCTAGCTCACAGATGTTATAGAATCTTAAATTTTTTTGGGGTGAAGCTTCTAGAAATTTCTATACCCACAACAATTGCTTGCAAATTTACATTGTTTGGCTGTGTCTTTTTTCACAAAACATCATTGTTACATTGGACATCTTCAGCTATTGACAAATTCTTTACAATTCCCTCAGGAGGGGACTAATCACTCGCAATGTCAAAGAATCTGTTGATCTGTTTCATGAGCGGTTTGGGGTAAGCAGTTTGAGGTGTGGGTTGATATTGTAAAAGCAAGTCATTGAATTAAGTTAGCTTGAACCCAAGAAAATTATATATAATGGGATTGAAAAGATGGAGGTCACCAACAAGAGCCTAGCTAAGTTTCTTTATGCCAAAACCCAAGGATGGAGGGCTGTCATTGCAATTTCATTGTTCATACTCTGGAATTTGGATGGGGGGAATAATTTGGCCTTTCCTTGTGAATGTTCATGCTTTTAATATCTGTTGTTCCAGGTGACCTTTTCTCCAGCACTTAGCAGAGAGTTTCGTCCTTGTAAACCAGACCCTGCTCCGCTGCTACATATCTGTTCTACTTGGGAAGTTCAACCCACTGAAGTCATGATGGTTGGTGATAGTCTTAAAGATGATGTAAGCTTTCCTTGCCTTGCCTCCTCCCAACTCCAAAACTAGCCCAACAATAAGCAAAGAAAATAAAAAAGATGATCTAACTCTTTGATTAACGTCCAGAGCCACTACTTTCTAGGCGTTTATACACTTTACTGTTGACTTCTTGTATATGTCACATATAATTTGATGATTAGATAGGTGACTTTGATACGATATATCTGATATTAACTGGGAGTTTTCAGATAAATCTTGTGTCATTATGAAAATGAAAAAGAAATACAAAAAACAAATGTTTTGCTCTCTGATTTTACTTGGCATTTGCAGGTAGCTTGTGGAAAACGAGCTGGAGCATTTACATGCTTGCTTGATGAAAAAGGGAGGTATGACTCTCCTCATTTGGCCAACTTGGATCTTCAACCTGATTTCAAGGTGTCTTCGCTAACTGAAGTTTGCTCCTTGCTGGAATCCAAATTTGACCTTACACCATGAGTTCCAAACTCGTAAATGATTAAAAAGGTCAGACGACTATTAGAGAAGCCTGTAGGTTGTGCTTGATTAACAAAAAGCTCACTACAGAGAACTTCTATGATTTGTAGTAGGATCTTTTCCTTGTTCCCAGCAAGGTCAGGGCCTAGGTAACAATACGGAAAACTAGTAGAGGATTTAGGAAACTGGCTTTGAAGCATAAGCCCATGCTTGATTTACAATCATGAATAAAGTGGAAGAATTCACTTGGTGTGGTTGCAGATTGGCATGATTTCACATTATAATTGAATGATGTCAAAACCTTGCTTGGGGAGTAAACCTTTATTTTTAACTCTGTTTCCTTTTTATTGTACATTATGTCTGTAGCATGTTCTTGTCTCTGAGCATTTGTTTGGATAAAAATTAATAAAGGTAAAGGAAGGGTGGGAAGGAGAAAAGAAGGGAGAGGAGGGAAAAAGAAGGAATGAATTAATGTTAATTTTGTTTAGATAAATAAGAGTAAAGGAGAGAGAAAAATAATTTTTTATTTAATTAAATAATTTAAAGAAAAATAAAATAAATTAAAATAAAAATTTTAAAATTCACTAATTAAAAAAATAATTGATATAAAATATTTATATATATTTATTTTTAAAAAAATTAAAAAAAAATAATTTTATAAAGTCAATTTTTTCAATTTAAAAGGATTGAAAATAAAAGAATAGAGAAGATTTCATTTCCTCTCATCTCTCTCTCTTTTAAAATTAATAACTTAAACACAAAAAGGAGGTAATTGCCCTTCTTCCTCTTCCTTTTTTTCTCTAACTATTTTAGGCAAAAGCTTATTTTTAATCCCTTACCTTATTAGATTTATAGGTTTTAATTTCTCACTTTATATTATAACACTTTTAGTTCTTCACATATTAAAATTGAAGAAAATAGCTCTCACTTTGTAACATGTTGTTAGTTCTGTTAACTATCTATTAATTTTATTAGCTGACTGTTAGTTAACCATTAGTTGTCAAAAAC